GCACACACTCACACCTAAGGACAATTTAGAGAACCTAACAGTCATTTGGAGATGTGGGCTGTTTTTGGACTGTGGGAGGAAGCCGGAGTACCCGGAGAGAACCCATGCATGCTCAGGGAGAACATGCAAACTCCATGCAGAAAGACCCCGGGCTGGGAATCGAACCCAGAACCTTCTTGCTGCAAGGCAGCAGGGTCCCACTGCTCCACTGAGCAGCCCACAGTGCTAATCATTACCTTAGGAAGAATAACAGTAGATCACACAAACATATACCAATATGCTGGTAAATAATTGTAGGATTATTTCGCTTTTCTAGTTTTCAAAGCCACGGTGAACGCCTGCGTCTTGTCAAAGTATATGCTGGCTTGTAGACACTTCACTTCACTTTGGATTCCATGGTTACATCTCTGTTGTCGGGGCTTTTTAACACACAACGGCTACAGTAGCTGCAATATGCGTTTGAGACAGTGAAGTGAAAGGGTTTAGCGTTAGTTTGAGTGAAACACGCCCATTTTCCCCGCTAGATGACAGCGATTCTTACACAATACCCCTTTAAGTCTTGTGGGTGTTGTGAGATCCTTTAATGTGGCAGAATAACACAAAACAAACTTTCAAAACATCTAAATTCTGAATTATTCCTTTTCATATATAAAAATAAAACTCAGAATTCAATGGTTGGCCAAACAAAAGATGGTAATAAGTGGCATAAACACTGACAATGTTGTAATTAGGTGTTAATCAATATATAATCTTAGATAAAAATACAGATGTTTTCTTTTGCACATACTAATCATTTCTTCTGAAACACTATAAAGTCATTATGTCTGTGTTTGGACAATAGGCTGTTTAGCTCATCCCCATTTCTGCCTTCTAAATTTCTCAGTACTCTTCTAATGAGGACCGACATCTGGACTCGTCTCACAATACGAGGCTGTGATGAATATGACCCCTGTGGTCAGGCCCTGCCCTAAACCCCACCAGGGCACATAAAGCAGTAGCGCCGGCCTGTTAAAGCGCTGCACTGGACCATAAATCGGTCAGAGCACTTTTTAACTGTCCAATTTGCATGGCCCTTACACAAAAAGGCTAACGATGTTTTACAAGACAAACATGCACAAACGCTATGCATGCAGGTAGGCTGAAAAGGTTGGGACTTGTTTGTTCTACGAGGAAATTTCCCAGTTTGAATATGTTAACACATTTGATGAGGCTCCTCCCTGAAATGAACAAAAGTTAGGGAATACAGAGCAGTCTGCAAGAAAGACAAAGGCATTGTGATGTTTTTCTTTTTTTTCTCTCCAAAAGTTAGAGAAAAAAAGAAGGAACGGAGAGAAGCAAGACTGCCGATGGGAAAAGGCAAGATGAAGAGGATGTTGAGATGGGAGTCTGGGTAGTTTTATCTAGTGGGCAGGCTGACGGTGGCGGCAGGATCTGTCTCTGTTAGCAAGAACACAGTCCTGTTATTAAAGCCATTTATCACTGGCTGAATATTCTTCCTTTAATAGGCGCTGTCGTTAATTACCCAACTTTGTCAAGACAGAGTGTCAAGGGCTCTCTGTTTTCTCACAGACAGGCTCACCCAGGCCCTTGGATGCATACAGAAACTTAAACGTGTCATCAGGCCAGGGGACACATTTTTATAAGTGGAGAGGCAGAATAAGGGATCTGTGCAGCAATGCATCAGAGGAGGCATTTGGAGCTTGTCAAGACGAAATACAATAATGCAGTTTTTGACAAAAGAGGTCAAATTACTTAATGAGGAATTGATATAGAATTTTTTTTTTTTTTAAAGTAGTTTTGTCTGTCTTATTTATGAGTTAAACTCCAGTTTTATATTTGAAAGACAGAGTCTGGCCAATTTATTATTAGTTTTTCTTAGCTTTCAATGGTGTGCTGTTATTTTTGTAGTCTTGCTTTAGTTAACTACCATTTATACAAATGTTATAGTGATGTCAATTAATAGAGGGATGAGTGATTTTGCAGACATGCAAAATCCACAACTATAAGGGGGAGACAAATGTCATAATCCATCATTGCCTCAGTAAAATGCTACTGACCTTTGGAATTAGGATTTCTTGCCCTCCTTACAATAATCTGGGCACACCTATTTTTAATTATTAACATTAAGTTAGCCTTAATTAACATTAAGTTAGCTCTACTATAAAAAAAATAGTTGGTGCTGGAATGACCAATACATCTCTGATTTTAGCTGAACAGTAAGAATTGGGCTGCTTTTTCAAGTGCCACGGAAGTTTAATTTATATTGAGTTGATAGTATCAGCTGTCCTTATTTGAAGAATAGTGGAGAGGCAAAGTCTCCTCCTTCCCTCTGCTTCCCTTCTCCATCTCTAATTAGACACTTTTGTTCTCCTTTTATAATTAGCCACTTAACTAGCAATAGAGCTGTGGCTGTAAAGCATTTACAAGGATTCTGGGCAGGACATGCCAGCACCTTTTGTTTAGCAATTAGTTTCTCTTTGAAAGGAACAATGCACAACATCTGCTGGTCTTGTAGAGCTTATTGAAAAAAAAGAGGCAGCAGTTGGGATTGTACCATAAGGATTTGCTACAAGGGCTGGCAGTTTGTAGTCTCAGGAATCTCTGGAAATGAAAAAAAAAATCAGCTCTAATAAATATGATGATAGGAGTTAAGCGAGAGCTGTGTAAGGGGGGCTTGTTTTTCACATTTCACTCATTAAGAACTGGCTAAGTGACAGTGCATGGTCCCATGTGAACAATGCAGCACAGGCAGAGTTTAGCACACGTCCCACTATGGCTGCCTTTAATACCCAGTCATTTACATTGTAGTTATCCAAAGACAGAAGCAATGAAAGGCACTCCTCCATTGATCCCTTTGGCATGATTAGCTCACCAGTGTATTGTCAAGGCGAACTAATCAGATGCATTGATCATGGAATACCTATTAACGCTTCTCAAGGCAATAATATGATTTTTGTTCTTCCAAACTACGGGTCAGTCATCCTGCTGAGATACAATGAAAGAAAATAGGGAATCAATTTCCAATGGGATTTCTGGAAGAATCCATTACTCTCAAGTGTGAATTTAACATATAATTCACAGTAAATCAGCAGTAGAACAACTGGAATAAAATGTTTAGCTATTTTTCTTTAAATTTTGGATTAGTTTTTTCTGGTGTAGCTTACTTTTAACTTAAAAGATTGATTTCATTTTCTGCTTGGTTTGCCATTTGTCCAGAAGAGGTTGCTGTGTTCCCTGCAATTTACAGGCAGGAAACTGTCAGCTCAGATTCAGCCTTCTATTTATTAGATAGACAGAAAGGAGGAAAGTTAAAGTGATATATAACAAGCTTCCCCACTCTTTTCAGTGCAGTAACTTATAACTTTAAAATAAGTATGAATGATAAAATCACAAATTTTTATGCCACTTATTAATATTATTGTTATTGTTGATGTTTTTGTTCCTTTAAATAAACTGGACACCTAACAAAGAACAAAACTGAGAAAATGTTTGTATTAATGGTTTTGATTGTGCAATCTTTTCTCATTGAGCGTTAATTGATTATATATGTAATGCCCATCATTGACAGTAGGGGGCAGGATCCATTCATTGATTTGACTGCCATTAAGCTGAGGCCATGTAATTGTGTTGAGGTGCCTATTAACACACACTTGCAGGCCTCTTTTGAGAGCAGTGTTTAGCCTCTTGACTTAAACGTGTTTACTTTATTTCAAAGAGCTCCTCTAACTGTACGGTATGTGACTTTTGAGGGAGATCTGAAGGGGTAAATGGAGTTCTTCAAAGTGAAATCATTCTCTGCCCATTTGCACCAGAAACTAAAAACAAATCCTGCAAGAGAGAGTCTGAACAGCTGTTAGAGACACGAGTCTCTCTCTGATACCTACGTTCCCGGGATGCTGGAGATCAAACGCTTTGCTTAGCTCAGCATCCATTCCTGTCTGTCACACCCTCAGGCTAAACATCAGCGGTGTGCCTTAAAGCTTTCAAATGTGCTCATGACAAACTTAAAATGTCTCGATTAATATCTGACAACCCAGCTCCCCCCCCTCCCCACACCAATTCTCATATCTGCTTTGGCTGCTTATCCATCTTGTGGTTTCAGTTGGATGTGTCCGTCATGATGATGTTCCTGAATCCAAAGGGGGGAAAGATTCAGCCCCTGAAGACATCTTCAGATCTTGAGAATCTCTCACATTTGCTATAAGACATTGCAAGATGCTATAAATGCAGTGTTAATGACTTTATTTAAATTATTTTATTCCTTTCAAAAAAGTTGTTTGAAATAATGTTATATTTCAAAGTTACACTACCAGAGTCATTTACATGAGCTGCTGAATAATTGACAACCACAGAAATGATGATGGAAAAATGCAGAGGAACCTTGATAGTAGCCTCATGCCATGAACTCCCATCAGTCCTTTTTCTCCATCTTGACACTTAATGTCTCATCCATCCATCAACTTTTAACCAGACCTCATGGAAGATGGCGAGTGACTTAAAAGCCCAGCAAGTCAGACCTAATTAGGCAACGCCTAATCAGACAAACCCCAGCACAAGGGCACAAAGTGGATTGTAGGGAGCATTTAAGATCTCCTCTGTGGTTGACCCAGCAGAAGAAAAAAACCAAAAAAAAAAAACCAAAAAGACATAACAATGAAGGAAACCTATACAAAATTACAAAAATATGTCCTGCTAACAAGGGCTTAAATCCAAGAAACTAAGAAGATAGTACATCTTTCTACATTCTTCCATTGATATTATGTCTCTGTTTTGATTTTTTTTCATCTATAAAAATAGATTTTTTTTTTTTTTTAGAGAAATCGTGCTTAGGTTACACATTTTAATAACACTGAATTCACCCCTCTCACTGATGGGGGCTAAAATGATGAATAGCCCAGAATAGCCTCAGGTACAGGACAGATTTAAGACAGTCGATCACAGCTTGCTGATCAAAAGACTGGAGACATAGTTGGATGATCTGGTGTTCTTAACAAGATCAGGTCTTACTGGATATGCAGGTGGGGCAGTTGTTAGCGTGCATCACCCATGTACGGAGGCCTTAGTCCTCAACGCGGCAGACCTGGGTTCGAATCCAACCTGTGGTCCCCCCTCTCTCATGGCCCCTTTCCTATCAGGCTAATGTCGAAAAAACAAGCCACGAGTGCTGTAAAAAAAAAAAAAAAAAAATCAAACCTAAAACAGCAAATGTTGAAACTTTATGTCAAGTATAAAACAGTAAACATGGGGGAGTGTTGGCCTAGTGGCTAGAGCAGTGCACCTGTGCTCTGAGAAGGTTGCAAGCACTCGATTTGATCCCCAAAGCCTTCACTCTAGGTTCCTGAGCAAAACCCTTAGCCCCACACAGCTGCCCGGGCACCACACAATGGCAGCTCACTGCCATCCATTGGAGGGGATGGGTTAAATGCAGAGAGTGAATTTCCCCATGGTGGGACAATAAAGAGATTTACTTTACATAAATCAAAAGAAACAAAGATCATATTTGAAGTTCCTCAAGGCTTTAGAGCCACTTTCATTTAATGTCTACATTGACCATTCAATGTCATGGCAAGAACAAGACAAAAGGCAGTGGCATTAGGGGGTTTCCTCTGATGAGCAGAAAGTGTCTTTCAAATGATAACATTGTTTTTAATATGAGTTGTAATTAAACTCAACAAATATTCTATCAGTCCATTTGATCAATTTGTCCTTTTATCATGTCTTAACTCCCTTTTTATGAGTGTCAACATTTTCCTATGTGGGGTTTTAGTCTTTTTAAAATTAATTTTTATTCCTTTATTTAGAGAAGGATAAAACACATCAGAGTCTAATGTTCTTGGCTTTGTTGTACAAAAATTATGAGATGGAAATGCTTGACTGAAGTACTAGTAAATTAGCCTGTGTTTTTCTGCAAACCTGAGAAGGCAGGACACCAGACGGGAGGGACAAGACAAGAGGAGACAGAACAGCCGCGCAGCAACGTCTCCTCACTCTGTGAGCCTCTGCGCACTAAAATATTGAGCAGCTTTTGTTTTGCCTAGTTAAACATGCACTGATGTGACACAAACTGTGAACAAAGCCATTGCACACGCACAGGAATCCTCTTTTTGTATAATTTATGATGCAGTGAATACTTCACTGTTTGTTCTTAACATAAAACATCCAGAAAATACCTGCTTTGAAAAAAAACCCTCAAATATAATAAAATATATAAAAGAATTATGGTACAGAAAAAATATCCTAATTATTGAATGAATAAAAACATAAATTACTGGCTTCATCTCGGAAAGATGGTTGTCTTCTTCAGAGTAAGATAGTATTCTGTCTTTTCTCTGTCACCTGCTCTGCAAACAAAGAACTGATGAGTTTAAAAAACGCCCTGACAGATATTTATGACTCTTTTTTTTTTGCATCTTTAGTAGGTTATTTAGCCGATAAGAGGCAACATAAGCATAATCTGAAACTCATTTGGAGGCATGTTTAGATGTTTTTCCAAAATATGGGTCAGGCTCTGGTTCCAGCTGGACTACTGACCAGTGGTTTAACCCTATTTAGACCCAAAACTTAAAGAAAACCTCCAACCCAAAGACAGGAAGCTTCAGAAAAAACAAAATAGATTACATGAAAATAAAACAACCAAACAAAAAAAAATAAGGGTAAATCTCCCCCTTTACTGTTAATGTCACAGTGTGTAGCTCATGTTTATCAAAAAATACTACTGATATAACAAAAGACCTAAAAGGATATGTTCCAGAACCACAAAGTGCCCTTTATATGTTAATTTTATTTATTTTTTTGTTAGAGAAAAAAAAATTTATTATATAACATTTATTCATTTTAGTTTTATTTATTCCTTAATCCATGACTGCTAACCAACACGGCTCTAATGCTTTTAGTTAGATTCATATGTTTTAAGATCACAACCAAATTATAAAACATATAATGAGTTTGATGACATCCCTAAAAGATAAAAGTCTCTTCCATAACTTGATCTGCACCTGGTAAAGGCAGTATATACGTGTGTGTGTTTGGTAAAGTGGTGCAGTATCCACACAGAAGAAGTCAGCTTGTTTTACCATAAGATGGAATGGATAAGTCCATGACAGCCTTTAAGCCTTAAAACTGAACCCACCAACTCAGCTGTCTAAATCGTACAGACAATGAGACAGAGATTCAGCAAACACATAGTGATCATCCTGTAGCATGAAATACTATTCACAGACACCCAAAACAATCTCTCTTACGGCTGGGAGCATGAATTATACATCCCTCAGGAGAATTGCTCTCTCTGCTTTTCCCCTTTTCTTCCTTTTGTCTTAAACTCTTCATAATGTTTCAGGTGTTTTTTTTTTCTCTCATTATAAATCAGTAGCATAGAATTAAATTATTAGAAGTTAACGCAATCATTCATTAGGAAAGGTTTTAAATGATCTGCTTCAAAGAGTGATGAGCATGACTAAGATTAGCAACTGGAAAAGGCAATTTGTTCTCTCATTAATACTTCCTCAACACGTGTGCTAAATCCGGTTTTTCTATTTGTAGGCCAGCATGTGTTAATGCATTCTTCTTTTTCCAGTTTATATGAAATGAATTAATCTAGAAGTGTCAATATCTGGAAAAATCTTTAGGATGTTGAGGCTGAACTGCATCAAGTCACTCCTGATGAATAAATTATTTCATATTAAACAAAAGGAACAAAATTTCTGCTGACATTCAACAAACACGTTTGCACAAGAGGTAGAGGTATGCTTCAGCGCAGCAACCTGTAAGTGTGTATATGGTGTGTGTTTATGTGAGTGAGTCTGTCTCAGATAAAACAAACCCTACATACAACAGCCCAGGGACACTCCAACCATAATTGTGCAGGGTGGCATTTAAGAAACACTCACACAACAGGGGTCAATTTCTCTTCAGGTCACTGAGAATGACATCATCAAACTACCATTAACTCGGCAAACAATCCTAGTCCTTCTACAGCTGTAGTGACATTGGATTCCTTCAAAACAAACAGTCGTCACCAAGGCTTTGCCCTCAATCTAAAACCATAACCTCCGAGTGAATAACAGAGAAATATCCATCTAGGTGGGATGGACTGGAGGTGAGGACAGGAGAACTGAAAATGAAAAGGCAAACAAATTCTTCAAAACCACTCCCACCCCCCTCACCTCCAGACTTTCCTCCTCCACCTAAAAGACACTCAGTTTTCCTTTAAGCTTAAATCTCAACAGACACAAAGAAGAATATACCATAAAGAGCAAAGATTGAGTCTTTAAGCTGGGTTTTTCAGAAACACTGTCTTATATGATTAACCTGCGTCACAGCCACTTGGTTTCACATTGAGTTGACCTATTAGAAACCACTTTGTTGTATCAGGTAGGCCTGACTGTGGCCTGGCATTAACTGTAGGCCAAGGTGTGCATTTGACATAAAGGCATCAAGAAAGTGCCCAGATGGAGCACACAGTTTTTCTGTAATAATAGCTTGAAATTCTACTGTTAAATAATTAATGTGCCCTATCTAACACAAAGTGGATGGGATGCAGAAAGCACTCTCTTTTCCTTCTTACTTACTACCGATAGGCACAATGCACATGATGGTGCTTGTGTTTCTTTGCTTTTATGTGTCATAGCATTGTATGCTCCTAGATGAGTGGACAAAGGGGAAAGCATTGTTTAAAAGCCAATGTAAAAGGTAAATGATAAAACAAGGTAAACAAGGAGCTGTCACATGTATAGTGTAGGTATTCACCCCAAGGGGAAAGCTGTTTTTGCCATTTCTACATTAAAAGGAATTTAGATATAGATATTATTGACAGGTTCTGTTAGTACAGAGATGTTGTGTGATATAACCTTTGAGGAGGCCAAAATGGTAATGAAAAAGGCAAAAAATTGATCTTAATGGCCAAACCTCACTATTAACGATTCATTGAGCTCATGTTGTTTTTCTGTCCTGTTTTTACAAGAAACAATCTTATTTGGCACCAAGGTGCAATAAAAGCACAGAGGCGTATTGGAGGTTATGGCAGGAGAAGTCACATGATCAATACCATCCCGACCCACCTCTCTTCGCCTCCTCCACTACTCGTCTTCCTTTCTCTCCTCACCACCTTTCCTCCCAATCAATTATCTTCCCCAAGTAAATAGATCTGTCTCCATGCTCGCTGCTCCCAGCTGGAACCTGATCTTCCTCCTCCTCCTCATTGTCCCAGCCAAGTCACAGAGCGAAACCGGATATCTACCAGAACACTACGGCAAACTCTCCTCCAGAATGTATTGAAGTGCAAAGGCTATAAAAAGCCCAATGACATCATCTTTGTATTCCTCAGTATTATATTTACTTTACTCTGACCTCTAAAAGAGTCTCAGATATGCAGCCTTCTACATGAGGAAATCGTTACGACTCACCAAACCCAAAAAAACTAACTTTTATAAAATCATAAATGTTAACCGCCTTGTTTTTAATAAGAAATACCTTTTTAAATTATATTATGGTAGCAAAATGGGTAATATGAAAACAAGAACTGTTCAGATAATAAACATTTAATGAATATAGGTTTATATTTTTTATTTTTTGTCACTATTCAAAATAAAATCAGATAAACAGAACTTGGAAATTATGTGAGGGAAGTTTTTTCTTAATAATCGGCATGTTTATGAGTCCAACCTATTGATTATTTTGATTTTAAATACATAGTAGAGAATGAGGCTATAAGCAAAGACATTTTACATGAGTAAAATTAAAATAATAAAATAATAAAAAAAACAAATATTTAGCTTTGTTTAATTAAAGTAGAAAATTAATATTGTTATTGCTCTTAATAATAATATACTGATTATACCATCCATCCATCCATCCATCCATCCATCCATCCATCCATCCATCCATCCATCCATCCATCNCCATCCATCCATCCATCCATCCATCCATCCATCCATCCATCCATCCATCCATCTTCTCCCGTTTATTCTGCCTATCTCTGGCAGTCTATTGACCAGAGGCGGGGTACAACTTGGATAGGTCACCATTCTGTAACAGCTGATTATACTTTTAACATAATCATTTTTCTAGTGTTTACATATTGATGGGTTGGAGTTTTATAAAAAGAAAAAAGCTCAAATAAATTTTGACTGTTGGGTAAATGTAGTATTTTTTTAGGTAAACTTAACA